TTAATTGGAAAATATTCAAATTCTTAATTTAATTCCATGTAATTTAAACCAACACAATCTTTGAGTTTCTGGTCTTTTATCATTCGAAAACCTAAAACATCGGAAAACTCTCCTACAGCCTCTATAACCAGGGCACGTTATGTGACTATATCTCCTACAACCTCTATAACCAGGATACGTTATGTCACTACATCTCCTACAACCTCTATAACCAGGGCACGTTATGTGACTATATCTCCTACAACCTCTATAACCATGGCACGTTATGTGACTATATCTCCTACAACCTCTATAACCAGGACACGTTATGTGACTATATCTCCCTACAACCTCTATAACCAGGACACGTTATGTGACTATATCTCCTACAACCTCTATAACCAGGACACGTTATGTCACTACATCTCCTACAACCTCTATAACCAGGGCACGTTATGTGACTATATCTCCTACAACCTCTATAACCATGGCACGTTATGTGACTATATCTCCGTACAACCTCTATAACCGGGACACGTTATGTGACTATATCTCCTACAACCTCTATAACCAGGGAACGTTATGTAACTATATCTCCTACAACCTCTATAACCAGGGCACGTTATGTGACTATATCTCCTACAACCTCTATAACCAGGGCACGTTATGTGACTATATCTCCTACAACCTCTATAACCAGGACACGTTATGTGACTATATCTCCTACAGCCTCTATAACCAGGGCACGTTATGTGACTATATCTCCTGCAACCTCTATAACCAGATCACATTATATCACTACATTTCATACATACTCTATAACCAGGGTTCTCCACATCTCAGTCTCGTTAACGCTGGCACCATGATATTGCTACATTCCTGATCCTGTTATGAATGTAGCTGTACTCTTGTTCCGCCGTCCATAGCTATCTCCAACAACACGACTTGATGTGTGTTGATGACAGCGTGGATGCGCTCAGATTGACTACGTCGGCCTCAAACCGAGACACGTTAACAAGGAGAAGCATATAGACAGATAAAACACTATCTGTGCGTCAAGCGGCACTTTCTCCTTGAGCTACAAAAACGGAGATAAATTTTAATCAAGATTAATGGAAACCGTTTTTGAATAGACACAACAGATAAAGGTGCCAGTGTATGGATGAACAATATGATAGCGAGCTGCTGTATTTCGGAATTAATCATTTTGAGGAAAACTATAAATGTGCACATCTGCCTCCTTGCTGAATGTTTACAGCTACATGTACCATATCCTTGAACCCAGTTATTTGTTGCTGGGACCACCGACATGTCTACCTTTACTCAAGGAACAATATGTATGATTATTTAAGTCCAAATGAGAGAAATAACATTATTCTAATCTTATCGTGGTTCTGAAAGACAGCATAATTTTAACCGCACTTGATGAACAAGCCAACATGGATGGCAATAGCTTCTGAAACTCATTTAATAACCTTGCTTGTGTTTTTAACATTTCCTGTATATCTTTGCTTACTTGGGCCAGGCACTTCCCTGAGTGTCAGGTCTTATCTCCATCAAGGACTTAGAAATGAAATATCAATTACCAAAAAAGCAAACATGCTGAACCTTCGACTAGAATAAATAGAGATGGGTAAGAAGAAGCTGGGAAGTGAAACCAAAGCAATCGAAAGTGTTTATTATTTTGACTACAAGGACTGTAATTGGGGAGGACTGTAACTGTCAGGAATGAGATGGACAGATAAACGCGTACGTGTCTGGGTAACGATCTACCCATGTCGCAGTTAAATGATCAATAGTGTAAGTCAATATCTGGTGTAGCCACCCCGTACACGGATCACATCCGCAAGACGTTTCCTCATCCTCGAAATCAGACGGCTGATCAACTGAGGGATGTGTTGTCATTCCTGGTACGATCCCTGGGTCAATGTTTGGAGCTTCTGTACTTGAGGGTCCCTGTCTCTAACCTCTACGTCCAAACAGATCCCATAGATTGGATTCAAATCTGGGCTCCGAGAATACAGAGTCTCAATGGCCTTGTGTTGGAGATGGTCAGTAACTGTTCGTGCTCGTTAGGGCCAGGCATTGTCGACCATGAGGACAGGGCGTATGGCAAGTGCATGGTGCATCAAAATGAGGCACAACAAAACCGTCCAATATCGTATCTTGGTTCCTTTGTCTATTTAATGTCCCCTGAACTGTGACGAAATCAAGTTTATAATCCAAGGTGCAACAACCCAGACCATCACTGAGCCGCCACCACATGCCACTGTTTCCTGGGTGTTGCGCTGAAGATAAGATGTTCCTCTTTGCCCCAAGACAGAAGTCCTATCACCAGTGTGGAGCAATAAACAGCATCAGACAAATGAATCCTCCTCCATGACCCCAAGTTCCAGTGTGCGCGATTCGGACAACAGGCTAAACGGTCCCGTGTGTGTTGGGGTGAGAGGAGTGGACGTTGTATTGGCCTTCTGGTATTAAATCCCTCTACATTCAGTGGACGTGTGTTGGTGCTAAGGGGCACTCTATTGTGGGTATGCCAGTAGTGAAGAAGAACTGTGCAAGTTGAACTTGTCAGCTGTTTCGCCTGGCATACCAAAAGCCTGTCCTCTCTTGCACTGGTCTTCCGTGGACGCCCTGATCTCAGCATGTCCAGTCAATGTGTGTTTTCCAATGAGACGATGATTGATGTTCAACACGAAGACAATAACCCGACATCACATGCCGGTTTGGTGAATTCCAATGATTTGCCATTTTTATGCTTAGGCATTCAGTTGCAATCTTTTCAAAGACAACCTTTCAAATTAGTAGAACTTTCATTCAAAATTAATAGCAGTAAAGACACATGAACCTACTGTCATCAAGCATGACTTTCTCTTTATAAACCTCTTAGCTGCGCATACGGCCCGGATAAACGCACCCACAAGATTGGGCAGTTGACGTTGTTACCATTTTACAGTGTACCATTTGAAAATCACTACTTTGAAAATGTACTTGCAATTACTCTTCACATTTGGTGGTGCGATGCTTTTGACGAGGTGTATATATCCCTAGGACACTCGGCGGTTACAACAAAGATCTTTGGAATAAGGGTCGTATCGGAATTACCCAGATGAATCCCTTGAAATAGGCCCAAGTACTAGTTTTTAGTACGCAGTCACAAAGGTAATACCCTAAGGATTTCAAATGTATGTATTTGTAGCTTGGGGAAACGTTCTGTGCACACGTTAAATGTATGCGCGTGGACGTTTTTTGTTTTCATTCTGTCTTAACACTTTGTACCATTTTCCCCTCTGGCATTTCTTTGTCTCCATTGAGATTACTGCCCAGGGTCTGCTCTCTCCGCAAATTATGAGGGCTTTTCGCCATTGGTCTTGAAGTATAAGGGGTTACTAATAGACAGTGAAACAACTCCTAACTTTTTCTTTTTTTTCAAAACTTCAAATGGCTGAAGTCATTTTTTTGTAGTTTTGATATATCCCAGTGGTGCTGTCGAATGCACATTTTTAAGAGCTTTATATAACACATGGTATTGTTTCCAAAACGGGTCACGTGACCAGTCCCTACATGCATCATATGAATCGGTCCCTCACCAGAGCATCACAGTTTCACAGAACACAATAATGAGCTGAGTGAAGTGTATACTTTCTTTCGCGTGGCATTTTACTTACCAATGTTTTGTAAATGGTAACATTTTCAGAGGAGGTAGTAGCATCTATCGGCCCTGGTGATGGTGGTGGTGGTGATCGTGATGGCACCATGGATCTCACTAGTGGTGGTGGTGATAGTGATGGCACTATGGAACTCACTAGTGGTGGTGGTGGTGGTGATGGTGATAGTGATGGCACCATGGAACTCACTAGTGGTGGTGGTGATGGTGATGGCACCATGGAACTCACTAGTGGTGATGGTGATGGTAATGGCACCATGGAACTCACTACTGGTGGTGGTGATGGTGATGGCACCATGGAACTCACTAGTGGTGGTGGTGATAGTGATGGCAATATGGAACTCACTGGTGGTGGTGGTGATGGTGATGGCACCATGGAGCTCACTAGTGGTGGTGGTGATGGGGATGGCACCATGGATCTCACTAGTGGTGGTGGTGATAGTGATGGCAATATGGAACTCACTAGTGGTGGTGGTGATGGTGATGGCAATATGGAACTCACTAGTGGTGGTGGTGATGGTGATGGCACCATGGAGCTCACTAGTGGTGGTGGTGATGGGGATGGCACCATGGATCTCACTAGTGGTTGTGGTGATGGTGATGGCATCATGGGACTCACTAGTGGTGATGGTGATGGTGATGGCACCATGGAACTCACTAGTGGTGGTGGTGATGGTGATGGCACCATGGAACTCACTAGTGGCGGTGGTGATGGTGATGGCACCATGGATCTCACTAGTGGTGGTGGTGATAGTGATGGCACTATGGAACTCACTAGTGGTGGTGGTGGTGGTGATGGTGATGGTGATGGCACCATGGAACTCACTAGTGGTGGTGGTGATGGGGATGGCACCATGGATCTCACTAGTGGTGGTGGTGCTGGTGATGGCACTATGGAACTTACTAGTGGTGGTGGTGGTGGTGGTGGTGATGGTGATGGTGATGGTGATGGCACCATGGAACTCACTAGTGGTGGTGGTGATGGTGATGGCACCATGGAGCTCACTACTGGTGGTGGTGATGGTGATGGCACCATGGAACTCACTAGTGGTGGTGGTGATGGGGATGACACCATGACATTCACTAGTGGTGGTGGTGATGGTGATGGCACCATGGAACTCACTAGTGGTGATGGTGATGGTAATGGCACCATGGAGCTCACTACTGGTGGTGGTGATGGTGATGGCACCATGGAACTCACTAGTGGTGGTGGTGATAGTGATGGTACCATAGAACTCACTAGTGTGGTGGTGATGGTGATGGCACCATGGAACTCACTTCTGGTGATGGTGATGGTGATGGCACCATGGAACTCACGAGTGGTGGTGGTGATGGGGGTGGCACCATGGATCTAACTAGTGGTAGTGGTGATGGGGATGGCACCATGGAACTCACTAGTGGTGGTGGTGATGGTGATGGCACCATGGAACTCACTAGTGGTAGTGGTGATGGGGGTGGCACCATGGAACTCACTAGTTGTGATGGTGATGGTGATGGCAATATGGAACTCACTAGTGGTGGTGGTGATGGTGATGGCACCGTGGATCTCACTAGTGGTAATGGTGATGGGGATGGCACCATGGAACTCACTAGTGGTGATGGTGATGGTGATGGCAATATGGAACTCACTAGTTGTGTTGGTGATGCGGATGGCACCATTGAACTCACTAGTGGTGGTGGTGATGCGGATGGCACCATGGAACTCACTGGTGGTGATGGTGATGGTGATGGCAATATGGAACTCACTAGTGGTGGTGGTGGTGATGGTGATGGCACCGTGGATCTCACTAGTGGTGGTGGTGATGCGGATGGCACCATTGAACTCACTAGTGGTGGTGGTAATGGTGATGGCTACAATGGAACTCACTAGTGGTGGTGGTGATGGGATGGCAGCATGGAACTCAATAGTGGTTATGATGATGGGGATGGCACCATGACATTCACTAGTGGTGATGGTGATGGCACCATGGAGCTCGCTACTGGTGGTGGTGATGGGGATGGCACCATGACATTCACTAATGGTGGTGGTAATGGTGATGGCACCATGGAACTCACTAGTGGTGGTGGTGATGGCGATGGCACCATGGAACTCACTAGTGGTGGTGGTTATAGGGATGGAGCCATGGAACTCACTAGTGGTGGTGGTGATGGTGATGGCACCATGGAGCTCACTAGTGGTGGTGGTGGTGATGGCGATGGCACCATGGAACTCACTAGTTGTGGTGGTGATGGTGATGGCACCATGGAACTCACTAGTGGTGGTGGTGATGGTGATGGCACCATGGAACTCACTAGTGGTGGTGGTGATGGCGATGGCACCATGGAACTTACTAGTGGTGGTGGTGCTGGTGATGGGATGACACCATGACATTCACTAGTGGTGGTGGTGATGGTGATGGCCCCATGGAACTCACTAGTGGTGGTGGTGATGGTGATGGCACCATGGAACTCACTAGTGGTGGTGGTGATGGCGATGGCACCATGGAACTTACTAGTGGTGGTGGTGCTGGTGAGGGGGTGACACCATGACATTCATTAGTGGTGATGGTGATGGTGATGGCAGCATAGAACTCACTAGTGGTGGTGATGGTGATGGCACCATGGAACTCACTAGTGGTGGTGGTGATGGTGATGGTGATGGCACCATGGAACTCACTAGTGGTGATGGTGATGGGGATGGCACCATGGAACTCACTAGTGGTAGTGGTGATGGGGATGGCACCATGGAACTCACTAGTGGTGATGGTGATGGGGATGGCACCATGGAACTCACTAGTGGTAGTGGTGATGGGGATGGCACCATGGAACTCACTAGTGGTGGTGGTGATGGGGATGGCACCATGGAACTGACTTCTGGTGGTGGTGATGGTGATGGCACCATGGAACTCACTAGTGGTGATGGTGATGGGGATGGCAGCATGGAACTCACTATAGCTGCCGGTGATGGGGATGGCAGCATGGAGCTCACTAGTGGTGGTGGTGGTGGTGATGGGGATGGTACCATTTAAATTACTGGTGGTGGTGATGGTGATAGTGTAGCAGGTGTATATATTTGTATTTTAGTCTTTTTGTAAATAAATCTATTTCAAGTTTTGTTTCTGTTGAACTTTATTCAACAGAGGTGTGTGTTTGTTTTTATCCCATCATTCTAAGTCAAGGCCTCAGTGATCAATCACAACCCAAGCTCAACTACATTCTTTGTCCAGCCCTCTGCTGATCAATCACACCCCAAGCGATCCTGTGATTGGCCACATTCAAACTTTACCTTCTTGCTCTGACTAACTCCATATTGCCACCTTCACTATGCACTGCACTGGGAGTATTCATAGATCACCACAAAAGGTTAGTTTATAATTTATCGTTATTTCTAAATAGTATTAAATAGTAATCAAAGATTAGGCATTATAAATAAGCATCTCAGAAGTAATTATATTTACATTGAATCACATATTTCTATTAATGTTGATGTTTTGAATGAATGTGGTTTAGAGGCTGAACTTTAAACCTAAGCTTTAGTGTATTTTAATATTATCTTGTATACATGCCAAGTTATATCTACATTAATGGAATTGCACCAACTATGCATTTTGTTATTCATTTCAATGTATTTAGTCACTCTAAGTATTTATTCCTGCTCTTTCTTCTGCAGGACATATCATGAATGGTGACATTTCAAGGGTAACACGTTTTACACCCTTGTGCCACACATAGAGTATGTGTAACCATTTTACTTAATATGTACTGTAAGCCATTTCTATCATATCATCTAATAATAATTAGTTGTAAGTAATGTAACAGAAATGATTGTATTGCTTTGATGATGATATGATATATATTATGTTTTAATATGCATATACTATATTATCTGTTTCTTATTACAGGGTGACTATCGTGATTATAATAAACATAAGCCTCACACCCCGTAGCCGTCTTGGTGTCATCTGTTTAAAATAATGGATAAAGCCAAGAAAACCCGGTTACATGTTTGGAGCCCCCAGTGAGGATTCTTATGTGATGTGATGCTTGGATCCCAGCATGGAATGCAAGTGTATGAACGAACTGTAATTATGGTCTATTTGGCCATCTCGCGAGTGATTGTCAGGTCCATGTGGTTGGGTCTTGTGACCCTAGGACTTACTGATCTTTGACAGCGACCTTGACCCAGAGACTCCAAGGCAGGTCAAGTTAACAATTTGCTGGACTTGGTTCAGTGATTGTGATTGTGAATTGTGACTCATTTTCCGGACTATTTTGTTTCTCGTATCTAATTGGATATATTTATATTGTTCTTCTTGAACTGTAAGTACTGTTTCTACATTTTTTGCAATATTGCTTTGTCTTTGTTTACATTTGACATGTCTGTAAACATTCATATTTGAATTTTCTGTTCATTATGAACTTGTAAATATTTGCCTGGCATAACGCCTTGTCGTTTCTTCAAATGCCTTTACGGTTTGTAGCATTGCTATTGTTTACATATATACCTGCAGGTTATTTACCCTCAATAAGATGTAGTGTCAACTGCACTTATTTTCATTCGGTGTAAACATATCCATATCAATTTGCGTTTGTTTATACTTAGCTGCAGCTTAATTAGTTAGCATTTAGTTGTGCTTGTACAAGCTTCACCGGTGTTCTCGTTTATTTCCATACTGTAGTATCTTTAATCATTTACAATTTGTTTTAGGTGTGACGTGTGAGTATGATTGTGTGAATATACTTAAACCAATAAACTTAGCCAAATAAACTTAAGTTTTAAATAAACTTAGCATTTAAACTTCAGTTTAATCTTAGATTATACATGTCATAGTTAAGTTAATCATTATTAGCTCTAATCAAGGGGTATATTATTCAACCTGCGCTGCGCTGCACTGCACTGCACTACACTTAGTTTAAATATCTAACCAGCTCATACACATCTTTGTCTTCCCCTTTGCTTGTGGTCTTTATTCATTCATTATGTAGGGTCCATTTGTAATTATCACCCTTTGCTTTCGTGTCTTGTTGTTTTCTTTTTGGGGGGGAATTGGTATTCCCGTTTGCCGTTCGTGATTATTTTGCGTTTGCGATGTTTTTGCTCCGTTTGCGTTTGTCGTGAAATGTCTACATCATGATGGCGTTGCCTTGAGCCGCGACCCGTTTTGTACATATTGTCACGCGTTCCGACACACTGTGGTCTTCATAGTTATTGTAGTCCACACATTTCATTATTCTGCCTCTGCAAACCATGTTATAATCTAATCCTAGGGTCAAATCTTGTTAATCACCCATGTGTGTAATACTTGCATTTGCCATATAAACCCAACTGATGTCCTTTAATTTGTTTATTTGCCGCTGAAAATACAATTGTTGTTCTCTCACTGTATATGTTTCTTTTTGTATGGGACTAAAAAACATCGTCTTTGTAGTTATTGACACATTCACAAACCACCATCTACTGCACTTCAAGTCATTGTGTTGTGCCTGTGAAATAATTACTGCCAGCCTTGGATCCATGTTTGATTTTGTTTATTCTTTACTTGGAGTCTTGTGCCTTTGAAGATGAATTTCTCTGAAGAAGAATATGCTAGTCTTGTTGATAGTTTTGCTAAGATGGGTTTGCACCCTAAGGCTGATAACCCCGATGACTTTAAGTCTTGGTTGAAGCAGTATGCCACGCAGGGTGGCCCAGTTGTGAAGAAGGAAGAAGCTTCCACTTTAGATGGTTCTCAGCCAGAACAGGTACCACTTAGTTCTAAGGTTGCTTATCGTCACTTCCCTAAACTACCTGTGTTTAGTGGAACGGCCGGCAAGGATGCTGACTATGATGTTTGGCGGTATGAGGTGAACTGTCTCATGGAGTCCAAGACCCATGACAACTCTGTTATCCTTCAGGCTATTCGTCAGTCACTTAAGGGTGAGGCAGCTCTTATTGTGATGAAGCTTGGTCATCATGCTTCTATTGTGGATATTCTGTTGAAGTTGAAGAGTGCTTTCGGTACTCTCCGCCGAAGTTCTTCATTATTTTCGGAGTTCTACAGCTCCTACCAGCAAAATGATGAAGACGTGACTGCCTGGAGCTGTCGACTTGAGAGACTGTTATACCAGTTGTCGGAACAGAAGCAGATTTCTTCAGCAGAGCAGGATGAGATGTTGAGGTCCAGACTTTGGGATGGATTGAAGACTTCACTGAAGAGTCTTGCTGCTCATAAATATGAGAGTATCTCCGACTTTGATGAGCTAAGACTGTGCCTCCGTGAGATAGAATTTGAACAGAACCGAGCCAAATCAGATATCCAGAAGTCCAAGTCAAAGCCCGCATCCGTCAACATGGCCAGTAACCAGCCCGCCTCCAAGCCTGATGACATCGCTGAGCTGAAGGGGATGATCAAGGATCTGACCACGAGTGTGTTCGACCTACGTGACCAACATCAGCAGCTGTCAGCCCAAGTGTACCAGCAACAACCTTCCTTTGGTTCTACCACCCACGGACAGCAGTATGGGAGAAGACCACTGAGATCAAGAGGTCGCGGACAGGGAGGACGAGGATTTCAGCCAGCTATGTATGATCCTCGATCCAGCCAGTATCCTGCTCCATCTCCCGAGGGAAGGAGTGCCGCTGCCCCTTCCTACTTCTATCAACCTGGGGCTGGAGCTAATGACAACAGATCTCTCACACCTGGACAAGCATCGGATCACGAGCCTGTGTGTTTCAGGTGTGGCTATCCCGGACATTTGTATTATGGTTGTCGTGTACGTCTTGACCATCTTAAGAGGCCTTTAAACTCGGCCACGCCTATGGCCCGGGGGCGCCCGTAGGTGTTACATCTAGCCCTCGTGTATTCGCACACACTGACTTAGTTGGGAATTCAAATGAGGTAGATATACTTATTGAGAATATTCCTGTTAGGGCATTAGTGGACACAGGTGCCACAGTGTCTATTGTGTCTAGCTCTTTTTATGATAGGTATCTCACTCATATTCCCATACATTCAGTAGATAGCCTTCTTAATATTGAATGTGCAGGTGGTAACTCATTACCTTACTCTGGTTACATTGAGGTTAAGGTCAAGGGCATTGGTGATGGTTGTGATGACCAAGATGACATGACTTGTTTGTTACTTGTTGTGCCTGACACTAGCTATAATGCCAAAGTTCCTGCTCTTCTTGGGACTAATGTTCTTGGAGTGCTTTTGGATGCCTGCAGAAAGGTTAATGGAATCCGATTCCTTCAGACGGCCAACCTCTACACACCTTGGTACCTGGCCTTTAGAAGTATGATGCTTCGAGAGAAGGAGTTAGAGAGGAATGGTGGGAAGTTGGGCTTTGTTAGATCCATTGAATATAAGCCTGTAATCATACCTGCTAATGGTTCTGCCATTATTCGTGGACAACTGTGCAAGGGGATTCCATATCCACAAGTGTGTGCCCTTATACAGCCAACTGTAGACTCTACTATTTCCAAGGACTTAGACATCATACCAGCCGTTGTGAGATACTGCCATGACAGACCAGATGAGATACAAGTTCATGTGTCTAATGTTACTACCCAGACCATGATTGTTCCCACTAAGGCTCTGCTGTGTGAACTTCAACCAGTGACAATAGAAGACCTACCAGACATGAGATGTTCAGACTCTGAGAAGTGGATTGACGACATTGAGTTGGAGGAAGATGGACTTACACGTGATGAAGTTGCACAGGGACTTGAGGTTATAAGGAGGTATGGTGACATTTTCTCTAAACACGATAAAGATCTTGGACATTCCAACATGGTCAAGCATCGGATAGAACTCTATGATGACGTGCCCTTCAAGCAGAGACATCGGCGTATACCACCAGCGATGTATGACCAGGTTCGGAGTCATCTTCAAGAACTGTTGTCCTCTGGTGTGATTAGACACTCTCATAGTCCTTGGGCATCCAACGTTGTGTTAGCCAAGCGCAAAGATGGCCGATTACGTCTATGCATAGATTTTCGCCAGCTGAACAACCGGACAATTAAGGACAGTTATGCTCTCCCAAGAATTGAAGAACTTCTAGATTGTCTCGGAGGGAACAAGTTCTACTCAGTGTTGGACATGAAGAGCGGCTATTACCAAGTCGAGATAGATGATGACCATAAGGAGAGAACGGCTTTTACTGTAGGTCCACTCGGATTTTTCGAGTACAACAGGATGCCGTTCGGCTTGTCAAACGCCCCAGCGACCTATCAGCGCCTTATGGAGAAGTGTCTAGAGGGACTGAACTTGAAGATTTGCCTTATATACATTGATGATCTCATCATATTTTCCCGGACATACGAAGAGCATGTGGAGAGGCTGGAGCTCGTCTTTAGAAGATTACAAGAATGTGGACTGAAGCTCGCCCCACAGAAATACAAGTTCTTTAAGAGGAAGGTGAGGTACGTTGGGTATATTGTGTCTGCTGAGGGGATTGAAGCAGATCCAGAGAAGATAGACAAGATTCAGCACTGGCCAACACCATCTACGCCAGAAGACATCCGGAAATTCTTGGGATTTGCTGGATACTATCGGAAATTCGTCCAGGACTTCTCTAAGATAGCCAGACCTCTCTCAGAACTTATGCCAAAGTGTGCCACCAAGAAGTCGAGGTCTAAGACATCCCAAACTGCTTGTAACTGGGGTCCTGCTCAAGAAGAAGCTTTCCAGGAGTTAAAGAACAGACTTTCATCACCTCCAGTCCTCGGGTGTGCTGACTTCTCAAGACCTTTCGAGCTGCACACTGATGCTAGTACCCATGGCCTAGGAGCAGTCTTATACCAGGAGCATGATGGTCACCTACGAGTTATTGCCTATGCAAGTAGGGGTTTGAATCGATCTGAACGGAACTATTCAGCACATAAACTCGAGTTTTTGTGTCTGAAATGGGCCGTTTCAGAGAAATTTCACGACTACTTGTATGGCAATGATTTCGTGGTAATGACTGACAATAATCCCCTGACGTATGTACTTACTACAGCATGTCTGGACGCCACAGGACATCGGTGGTTAGCTGCTCTAGCAAGTTACAACTTTACCATCAAGTACCGGCCAGGGAAGAGCAACGTTGATGCTGATGTGTTGTCTCGTTTGCCAAGCAAAGACCCAGTCCAGATGGAAGACCTGTCTAGTGATGTGGTGAGTGCTATCTGTAACAAGATTTGTGCACCTAATCTTGTTGAGAGTTTGTGCTTGTCTACAGAAGTGGTTCCAGGAAGTGAAGCAGATGTAAGTGACCATGTGTGTGCTGCCAATGCTAAGGATTGGCGTCGTGCTCAGCTGAAGGACACATCCCTTGCTGTTATCATGGAGCATCTGGAGAATGCCACGAGACCTGACAGAACTCAGTTCCAAGGAGACCCAGAGATGACTACTTTATTGAAGACATTTGCACATTTGACTTTGAGGGAAGGTGTGTTATATAGAGTCACCAGCATGGATGGATGTGATCAAGAACAGCTAGTACTACCTTCCAGATGTAGGATTTCAGCACTCAGAAGCTTGCATGATCGTGTAGGACATCCAGGCAGAGATCGGACCTTATCCCTACTCAAGGAAGGTTTCTACTGGCCTGGTATGACCAAGGATGTAGATGACTACCTGAAGATATGCGAGAGGTGTCTGAAGGGAAGGGAAACACATCCATCAGAGCCCCTTTGGTGAGCATCCAGACGTCGCAGCCAATGGAACTGGTCTGCATGGACTTCTTGACTCTGGAGCCATCCAAGGGTGGTCAACAGTATGTGTTGGTCATTACTGACCATTTTACCCGGTACGCTCAAGCCTATCCGTGTCGGAATACATCAGCCAAGACGACAGCAGACTTGTTTTTCAACAACTTTGTCATCCATTATGGTCTACCCAAGAGGATTCATTCCGACAAAGGAGCCAATTTTGTTGGTAAGCTGATGACAGAGCTGTGCCTGCTGCTTGGGATCGATAAGTCGTCCACAACACCCTACCATCCCATGGGTAATGGGATGTGTGAACGATTCAACCGGACCCTATGTGATATGTTGGGAACTCTGGAACCAGACGCCAAGAGGGACTGGAAGGCTCATGTTGGACCCTTAGTCCATGCATACAATTGCATTCGACATGAGTCTACCGGACATTCCCCCTTCTTCCTTATGTTTGGGCGTTGCCCAAGACTTCCAGTGGATCTAGCATTTGGACTTGACATCCAGCCAAGCAAGCCCAAGTCACTGCAGCAGTACACAAAGTCATTAAGAGAACGACTCCAAGAGGGATACCATCTAGCTTCACAGAACAGCAAGGAAGCACAGCAGGATCAGAAGACCTACTTTGATAAGAAGGCAAGAGCAGCAATTATAGAGACTGGTGACCGAGTTCTGGTTAAAACCGTCGCCTTTGAAGGAAGACACAAACTAGCAGACAGGTGGGAAGGTGACATATACACAGTTCTTCGTCAGCCGAACCCCTCCATCCCTGTCTATGTGGTCGGAAAGGAGAATGGTGAAGGTAGGAAGAGAGTGTTACACCGGAATCTTCTACTTCCCATTGGTGCACTCCCTGTACCGGATCCACCAGCACCAGAACCACCGAGACCTATCCCGAAACCAAGAATATCAAAGAGACTTGCTATTCCAGTCAAGGAACCAGAGGATGACGAGTCAGACATATATTTCCCTTCGTCTGAGCCGTCAGTGTCAGCTGCGGATACAGCTGATAGGCCAACTGAGGCTAGAGCAGAAGTTGAAGATTCTGCATTGGACGAAGATGATTTAGTTGGAGATGCAGTTGGGAGCCAGCCAGATCAGCCTGAAGATATTTCAGCTGAGGTTGATCCTGCTGCAGAGGAGATATCAGATGTGGAGACCACTGACGCAGATCCGGGTGCAGCCCCAGAAGAACCTGCCAATGTGGAAGATGATCCTGAGTTAGCTGAAGATGTGCCGGCACAGCAACCCAGAAGATCAGGGAGGACTCGGACACAGCCACGGTGGATGTCTAGCGGTGAGTATGTCATGTCTGCAGTTCCGCATCCCGACTGGAGGAACAGAGCTGAGTATCTCAGTTCTCTTATCAACGCTGGAGTGCTTGCCAACGACAGTACTGATGTACAGAATGCATTTCTCTCCCTTGTTTTAGGCAGATGATGAGGACATCATTTTCATGCCGGGGGGAAGTGTGTAGCAGGTGTATATATTTGTATTTTAGTCTTTTTGTAAATAAATCTATTTCAAGTTTTGTTTCTGTTGAACTTTATTCAACAGAGGTGTGTGTTTGTTTTTATCCCATCATTCTAAGTCAAGGCCTCAGTGATCAATCACAACCCAAGCTCAACTACATTCTTTGTCCAGCCCTCTGCTGATCAATCACACCCCAAGCGATCCTGTGATTGGCCACATTCAAACTTTACCTTCTTGCTCTGACTAACTCCATATTGCCACCTTCACTATGCACTGCACTGGGAGTATTCATAGATCACCACAAAAGGTTAGTTTATAATTTATCGTTATTTCTAAATAGTATTAAATAGTAATCAAAGATTAGGCATTATAAATAAGCATCTCAGAAGTAATTATATTTACATTGAATCACATATTTCTATTAATGTTGATGTTTTGAATGAATGTGGTTTAGAGGCTGAACTTTAAACCTAAGCTTTAGTGTATTTTAATATTATCTTGTATACATGCCAAGTTATATCTACATTAATGGAATTGCACCAACTATGCATTTTGTTATTCATTTCATTGTATTTAGTCACTCTAAGTATTTATTCCTGCTCTTTCTTCTGCAGGACATAGCATGAATGGTGACATTTCAAGGGTAACACGTTTTACACCCTTGTGCCACACATAGGGTATGTGTAACCATTTTACTTAATATGTACTGTAAGCCATTTCTATCATATCATCTAATAATAATTAGTTGTAAGTAATGTAACAGAAATGATTGTATTGCTTTGATGATGATATGATATATATTATGTTTTAATATGCATATACTATATTATCTGTTTCTTATTACAGGGTGACTATCGTGATTATAATAAACATAAGCCTCACACCCCGTAGCCGTCTTGGTGTCATCTGTTTAAAATAATGGATAAAGCCAAGAAAACCCGGTTACAATAGCACCATGGATTTCACTAGTGGTGATGGTGATGGTGATGGTGGTGGTACCATTGAAATTACTAGTGGTGGTTATTGGGATGGTAGCATAGGGCTCAGTAGTGATGGTTGATGGTAGCATGGAACTCAGTAGTGATGGTGATGGTGATGGTAGCATGGAGCTCAGTAGTGATGGTGATGGTGATGGTAGCAGGGAACTCAGTATTGATGGTGATGGTGATGGTGATGGTAGCATAGAGCTCAGTAGTGATGGTGATGATAGCATGGAGCTCAGTATTGATGCTGATGGTAGCATGGAACTCAGTAGTGATTTTGAATGTGATGGTAGCATGGAGCTCAGTAGTGATGGTGATGATGATGGTAGTATGGAGCTCAGTAGTGATGGTGATGGTGATGGTAGCATGGAACTCAGTACTGATGGTGATGGTGATGGTGATGGTGATGCTGATGGTAGCATAGAGCTCAGTAGTGATTGTAATGGTAGAATAGAGCTCAGTAGTGATGGTGATGCTGATGGTAGCATGGAAGTCAGTAGTGATGGTGATGGTGATGGTAGCATGGAACTCAGTAGTGATTTTGAAGGTGATGGTAGCATAGAGCTCAGTAGTGATGGTGATGGTAGCATGGAGCTCAGTAGTGATGGTGCTGGTAGCATGGAGCTCAGTAGTGATTTTGAAGGTGATGGTAGCATAGAGCTCAATTGTGATGGTGATGGTAGCATGGAGGTCAGTAGTGATTGTGCTGGTAACATGGATCTCAGTAGTGATGGTGATGATGATGGTAGCATGGAGCTCAGTAGTGATGGTGATGGTGATAGTAGCATGGAGCTCAGTAGTGATGGTGATGCTGATGGTAGCATGGAAGTCAGTAGTGATTGTGATGGCAGCATGGAGCTCAGTAGTAATGGTGATGCTGATGGTAGCATAGAGCTCAGTAGTGATTGTGATGGTGATAGTAGCATGGAACTCAGTAGTGATTGTGATGGTAGCATGGAACTCTGTAGTGATTGTGATGGTAGCATGGAGCCCAGTAGTGATGCTGATGGTAGCATGGAACTCTGTAGTGATGGTGATGGTAGCATGGAGCCCAGTAGTGATGCTGATGGTAGCATGGAACTCTGTAGTGATTGTAATGGTGATGGTAGCGTGGAACTCAGTAGTGATTGTGATAGTGATGGTAGCATGAAGCTCACTAGTGATGGTTATGATGATGGTAGCGTAGAGCTCAGTAGTGATGGTGATGCTGATGGTAGCATGGAAGTCAGTAGTGATGGTGATGGTGATGGTAGCATGGAACTCAGTAGTGATTTTGAAGGTGATGGTAGCATAGAGCTTAGTAGTGATGGTGATGTTAGCATGGAGCTCAGTAGTGATGGTTTATGGTAGCATGGATCTCAGTAGTGAAGGTGATGATGATGGTAGCATGGAGCTCAGTAGTGATTTTGATGATAACATGAACTCAGTAGTGATAGTGATGATGATGGTAGCATGGAGCTCAGTAGTGATTGTGATGGTAACATGAACTCAGTAGTAAAAGTGATGGTGATGGTAGCATGGAACTCAGTAGTGATTGTGACGATGATGGTAGAATGGAGCTCAGTAGTGATTGTGATGGTGATGGTGATGGTAGCATGGAGCTCAGAAGTGATGCTGATGGTAGCATGGAGCTCAGTAGTGATGGTGATGGTGATGGTAGCATGGAGCTCAGAAGTGATGCTGATGGTAGCATGGAGCTCAGTAGTGATGGTGACGATGATGGTAGCATGGAGCTCAGTAGTGATTGTGATGGTAGAATAGAGCTCAGTAGTGATGGTGATGCTGATGGTAGCATGGAAGTCACTCTAGTGATGGTGATGGTGATGGTAGCATGGAACTCAGTAGTGATTGTGATGGTGATGGTAGCATGGAACTCAGTAGTGATGGTGATGGTGATGGTAGCATGGGACTCAGTAGTGATGGTGATGGTGATGGTAGTATGGAGCTCAGTAGTGATGGTGATCGTGATGGTGATGGTAGTATGGGGCTCAGTAGTGATGGTGATGCTGATGGTGATGCTGATGGTAGCATAGAGCTCAGTAGTGATTGTAATGGTAGAATAGAGCTCAGTAGTGATGGTGATGCTGATGGTAGCATGGAAGTCAGTAGTGATGGTGATGGTACCGTAGAGCTCAGTAGTGATTGTGATGCTGATGGTAGCATAGAGCTCAGTAGTGATTGTGATGGTAGCATGGAGCTCAGTAGTGATGCTGATGGTAGCATGGAACTGAGTAGTGATGGTGATGGTAGCATGGAAGTCAGTAGTGATGGTGATGGTGATGGTAGCATGGAACTCAGTAGTGATGGTGATGGTGATGGTAGCATGGAGCTCAGTAGTGATGGTGATGGTAGCATGAAACTCAGTAGTGATGGTGATGGTGATGGTAGCATGGAACTCAGTAGTGATGGTGATGGTAGCATGGAGCTCAGTGGTGATTGTGATGGTAGCATGGAGCTCACTAGTAATGGTGATGGTGATGGTTGCATGGAACTCAGTAGTGATTGTGACGGTGATGGCAGCATGGAAGTCAGTAGTGATGGTGATGATGATGGTAGCATAGAGCTCAGTAGTGATGGTGATGGTGTTGGTAGCATAGAGCTTAGTAGTGATGGTGATGGTGATGGCAGAATGGAAGTCAGTAGTGATGGTGATGATGATGGTAGCATAGAGCTCAGTAGTGATGGTGATGGTGATGGTAGCATGGAGCTCAGTAGTGATGGTGATGGTAGCATGGAACTCAGTAGTGATTTTGAATGTGATGGTAGCATGAAGCTCACTAGTGATGGTTATGATGATGGTAGCGTAGAGCTCAGTAGTGATGGTGATGCTGATGGTAGCATGGAAGTCAGTAGTGATGGTGATGGTGATGGTAGCATGGAACTCAGTAGTGATTTTGAAGGTGATGGTAGCATAGAGCTTAGTAGTGATGGTGATGTTAGCATGGAGCTCAGTAGTGATGGTTTATGGTAGCATGGATCTCAGTAGTGAAGGTGATGATGATGGTAGCATGGAGCTCAGTAGTGATTTTGATGATAACATGAACTCAGTAGTGATAGTGATGATGATGGTAGCATGGAGCTCAGTAGTGATTGTGATGGTAACATGAACTCAGTAGTAAAAGTGATGGTGATGGTAGCATGGAACTCAGTAGTGATTGTGACGATGATGGTAGAATGGAGCTCAGTAGTGATTGTGATGGTGATGGTGATGGTAGCATGGAGCTCAGAAGTGATGCTGATGGTAGCATGGAGCTCAGTAGTGATGGTGATGGTGATGGTAGCATGGAGCTCAGAAGTGATGCTGATGGTAGCATGGAGCTCAGTAGTGATGGTGACGATGATGGTAGCATGGAGCTCAGTAGTGATTGTGATGGTAGAATAGAGCTCAGTAGTGATGGTGATGCTGATGGTAGCATGGAAGTCACTCTAGTGATGGTGATGGTGATGGTAGCATGGAACTCAGTAGTGATTGTGATGGTGATGGTAGCATGGAACTCAGTAGTGATGGTGATGGTGATGGTAGCATGGAACTCAGTAGTGATGGTGATGGTGATGGTAGTATGGAGCTCAGTAGTGATGGTGATCGTGATGGTGATGGTAGCATGGAGCTCAGTAGTGATGGTGATGGTGATGCTGATGGTGATGCTGATGGTAGCATAGAGCTCAGTAGTGATTGTAATGGTAGAATAGAGCTCAGTAGTGATGGTGATGCTGATGGTAGCATGGAAGTCAGTAGTGATGGTGATGGTGATAGTAGTATGGAGCTCAGAAATGATGGTAGCATGGAGCTCAGTAGTGATGGTGATGGTGATGGTAGTATGGAGCTCAGTAGTGATGGTGATCGTGATGGTGATGGTGATGGTAGCATGGAGCTCAGTAGTGATGGTGATAGTAGCATGGAGCTCAGTAGTGGTGGTGATGGTACCGTAGAGCTCAGTAGTGATTGTGATGCTGATGGTAGCATAGAGCTCAGTAGTGATTGTGATGGTAGCATGGAGCTCAGTAGTGATGCTGATGGTAGCATGGAACTGAGTAGTGATGGTGATGGTAGCATGGAAGTCAGTAGTGATGGTGATGGTGATGGTAGCATGGAACTCAGTAGTGATGGTGATGGTGATGGTAGCATGGAGCTCAGTAGTGATGGTGATGGTAGCATGAAACTCAGTAGTGATGGTGATGGTGATGGTAGCATGGAACTCAGTAGTGATGGTGATGGTAGCATGGAGCTCAGTGGTGATTGTGATGGTAGCATGGAGCTCACTAGTAATGGTGATGGTGATGGTTGCATGGAACTCAGTAGTGATTGTGACGGTGATGGCAGCATGGAAGTCAGTAGTGATGGTGATGATGATGGTAGCATAGAGCTCAGTAGTGATGGTGATGGTGATGGTAGCATAGAGCTTAGTAGTGATGGTGATGGTGATGGCAGCATGGAAGTCAGTAGTGATGGTGATGATGATGGTAGCATAGAGCTCAGTAGTGATGGTGATGGTGATGGTAGCATGGAGCTCAGTAGTGATGGTGATGGTAGCATGGAACTCAGTAGTGATGGTGATGGTAGCATGGAGCTCAGTAGTGATTGTGATGGTGATGGTAGCATGGAAGTCAGTAGTGATGGTGATGGTGATGTTAGCATGGAGCTCAGTAGTGATGGTTTATGGTAGCATGGATCTCAGTAGTGAAGGTGATGATGATGGTAGCATGGAGCTCAGTAGTGATTTTGATGATAACATGAACTCAGTAGTGATAGTGATGATGATGGTAGCATGGAGCTCAGTAGTGATTGTGATGGTAACATGAGCTCAGTAGTAAAAGTGATGGTGATGGTAGCATGGAACTCAGTAGTGATTGTGACGATGATGGGAGAATGGAGCTCAGTAGTGATTGTGATGGTGATGGTGATGGTAGCATGGAGCTCAGAAGTGATGCTGATGGTAGCATGGAGCTCAGTAGTGATGGTGATGGTGATGGTAGCATGGAGCTCAGAAGTGATGCTGATGGTAGCATGGAGCTCAGTAGTGATGGTGACGATGATGGTAGCATGGAGCTCAGTAGTGATTGTGATGGTAGAATAGAGCTCAGTAGTGATGGTGATGCTGATGGTAGCATGGAAGTCACTCTAGTGATGGTGATGGTGATGGTAGCATGGAACTCAGTAGTGATTGTGATGGTGATGGTAGCATGGAACTCAGTAGTGATGGTGATGGTGATGGTAGCATGGAACTCAGTAGTGATGGTGATGGTGATGGTAGTATGGAGCTCAGTAGTGATGGTGATCGTGATGGTGATGGTAGTATGGAGCTCAGTAGTGATGGTGATGGTGATGCTGATGGTGATGCTGATGGTAGCATAGAGCTCAGTAGTGATTGTAATGGTAGAATAGAGCTCAGTAGTGATGGTGATGCTGATGGTAGCATGGAAGTCAGTAGTGATGGTGATGGTGATAGTAGTATGGAGCTCAGAAATGATGGTAGCGTGGAGCTCAGTAGTGATGGTGATGGTGATGGTAGTATGGAGCTCAGTAGTGATGGTGATCGTGATGGTGATGGTGATGGTAGCATGGAGCTCAGTAGTGATGGTGATAGTAGCATGGAGCTCAGTAGTGGTGGTGATGGTACCGTAGAGCTCAGTAGTGATTGTGATGCTGATGGTAGCATAGAGCTCAGTAGTGATTGTGATGGTAGCATGGAGCTCAGTAGTGATGCTGATGGTAGCATGGAACTGAGTAGTGATGGTGATGGTAGCATGGAAGTCAGTAGTGATGGTGATGGTGATGGTAGCATGGAACTCAGTAGTGATGGTGATGGTGATGGTAGCATGGAGCTCAGTAGTGATGGTGATGGTAGCATGAAACTCAGTAGTGATGGTGATGGTGATGGTAGCATGGAACTCAGTAGTGATGGTGATGGTAGCATGGAGCTCAGTGGTGATTGTGATGGTAGCATGGAGCTCACTAGTAATGGTGATGGTGATGGTTGCATGGAACTCAGTAGTGATTGTGACGGTGATGGCAGCATGGAAGTCAGTAGTGATGGTGATGATGATGGTAGCATAGAGCTCAGTAGTGATGGTGATGGTGATGGTAGCATAGAGCTTAGTAGTGATGGTGATGGTGATGGCAGCATGGAAGTCAGTAGTGATGGTGATGATGATGGTAGCATAGAGCTCAGTAGTGATGGTGATGGTGATGGTAGCATGGAGCTCAGTAGTGATGGTGATGGTAGCATGGAGCTCAGTAGTGATGGTGATGGTAGCATGGAGCTCAGTAGTGATTGTGATGGTGATGGTAGCATGGAAGTCAGTAGTGATGGTGATGGTGATAGTAGCATGGAACTCACTAGTGATGGTGATGGTGATGGTATCATGGAGCTCAATAGTGATGGTGATGGTAATGGTAGCATGGAACTCAGTAGTGACTGTGATGGTGATGGTAGCATGGAGCTGCCTTTGTGTGTGGGGAATCGACTACGGTAGTTGCACTGCATAAGCAATTGTGTTTTAAACCTAAACATTTGGACCATCCAAGTGCATTTGAGAAATACAAATTATCCTGTATGCCACACTGCCCTCAATGCAAACACAACTGCACGATGTACAGACATAATATTCAGCATCTAAACAAGTGCCACATGAAAGCCTGTATTGTTTATGGCTATTACAGTTCCTTCTCGGCCGTTAACGACATAGTTCTCCACCCTGGTAGACAAAAATCCCCTCCTTCCGACGCCACAATGTACTGAAGGGGAGCCCCACGGGCACTGCAGAGCTTACAAGCGTCCTGTGGGAGGTTCGGAGATGCCCCCCTAAGAGCTTTTGATCCCCCGCGGGGTCGTTACATCAACGTCTTGACCGGATAAAGGGCAGGTGGCATTTACCGACACCACTTTGTTCGAGGTACAGTCTCCAGTGTGTGTGGCCTTTCCTCAGAGGTTGGGACCTATGTAGTCCCAATGCCAAGCTGTGGATAGATCTTTACTCGGGCTGACCCCACCTGTAGTACACTTGTATATATTAAGGAAATGTTGCACAGCATATGTTGTTTTGAAGCCATGCCAAGACATGATAATGCGGTGGGAAGTAGAACATATAGAAGTATTTGGCGGGGAGTGATTGACATTTTCAACTATTGGTTTCGTGCAAGGTTGCTGAATAACAATGATAGAGGCTTCCTACACAGAATTGTCTGCCGCGTGACGAAGTCTAAATACACTGTACATGCATTATAGGCACTTGGAAATACATCCATTATTAGTGATAAAGCTTAACTAATGTAAGAAGGTGCAGAAATAGGATGTCTTTTGCTCTGCACTTATGTATTTTGTTAAGGGGGACGGGTACTTGTGCGTGTGCTTTGAAATTTAAAGCAAGTTCAGTCCACACAAGCCTTGTATTGAATTAGGGATTCCCAATTCACGTGGAGCTTACTTTACCACCTAGAATTGTAAAAAACAGACATCGTACAATAGAATTTCATGCTTCCCAGGCTGCATCAGATGCTATTAATTGTGCAGAATAATACTGTTTAGCGGCATGAACACATAATAGGGTACATATATAGACACACTGACACAGAGTTCTCCCTGGGTTATAATGCCATGTTTTTTTCTCCGAACAGATTTCCGCAGTGAAAAACGTCCCAATTCTCTGGTTATAATGCCATTTGTTTGTAAATTTTGACGCAATAATTGACAATGTAGTTGATTTTTTGGAGATAATTGCCTTTTCTAAATCAACAAACTAAATGCATTGATCTCAGATGTTTTACATCTCATCCTTACACAGAGAATGATTCGCTGTCTTAAAATAACAATAATTAGTTTGATGTTATAGATTATATCCTTTTCTATAAGATTACATAAATTCTTCTATATAAATATATATCATGTCAGAAAGGTCTGGTCTTCATCTCCCTGATGATCTCTCTATATCATATGAAGGACGACGCACAGTTGAACACCATCTGTGGTGTTA